CTTCCCGATTTGTTACCACCTGGAATCCCGGCTGACGGGGTTTGCTTTGACTGTCGCCTCTTCTCCAGAGGAGCTGTCGTCATCGTCCGACTCCTCTGACTGCAGATCTTCCACCATGGAGCGCAGCGGACCTGCACCAGAGAGGAGAAAGCAATGCAACACTAGGACATGGAGGCAGAACTCCCTCCACGCTACCCGATCTGCTCTGGATTCGTTATCATTAAGATAATGAAGATTTCTCAATAAGATATCACGGGTATTTTCATTTTGCACGAAGATGCTCAGTCTCAAAACTAAAGCAGAGCTGACAAACTTTAAAACTATCGTAAAACTGCCCTAACTTCCCCCCCCTCAAATCCTCCCACTCTTCTGAAATGAAAACAAAAGGACACATTTTTCATGCATTTAGGGACTATTTTAAACGCCACTCAAGAGACAGAATTCGTAGCAAGACAGCATTTGCTAAGGTTAGAACATTTACTATTGCCACTGTATATCTCTTTGGATTATCAGTGGAGCCATCTGAAAAAGCAGCTACGTTATGCGCTGGCAAAGTGATGAATGTCACATTTATGATTTTTAATAAAGCCTATATGAGATTGGAGGAGAAATATTCTGGTGACACTATAGATCAAGCAGCAGCAAACACATTTATAAACTGAGGCAGAAACCAAAGTCAACAGGGAAAGAACCAAATCCAGAGAGATACCCTACTCATAAATTAACTGCCAAAACAAGAAAAATACTTGTTTGTGATCATGCTATGACATTATTGCTTCTTCTCGCTGAGGCGTCAGAGCTTCAACACATGGTTACATATGAGAAACCGTACTGCCTTATATATGGTGCTGGGAAAACAGAGCTAATCCTCAGGAGCCTTTCAGGTTATGCAAAGAAGATTTTAAATAATGTTATTTCTTGCCACACACCTTGACTGTGGTTCTGAGATGGCTCAAAATCCGAGTCAGAGCTGGAGTCGGAGCTGGAGCTGGAGTTGGAAGGGCTGGACTGGACAGACTTAACCCCCCATAAAAGGGAAAAAACAGAAAAAGAATCTTAACCTTTCTAATCTGGAAAATAGGGCAGAGCACACAGCACAGTGAGACAGAAGCATCTGAGCACTCTACATCATCATCCACCACCCAATGCAGTCCTTGGAACTGCAGAAAATATACAAAACGCAAGGTAAATAAAAACATTTATGAAAACTTTGATGCCCTACAGCTCAGTGCTGCTTGCGTCAAGAGCTCCCACCAACACCCTTCATGCCTCTGGTTTCAAATAGCCTCAAGTGATGAGAAACAGCATCGGAAAAACGTCCAAGTGAAAAAACTCCTTATTTTCCAATGTGAAAGACGACTGGCACACAGCCTGGCAGTTATCAGAGCCCTCTTAAAATGTGTGTTTAGTGTGACCCACCATTTCCTCTGAACACCTCCTACTGACCACCGAGCACGAAAGGATCCTAACTAGGTCCTAACAGCATCCAGAAACAAAGTTTCAGTGTCACGTATGTTCTTCAAGGTAAGACCCGGTGCTGTGCAGCAATCGCACGCTTTAGACCACAAGGCCACGAGGTGGCAGTGAAGGCTGAAGCAACCACTGACATCCCGAGCAGCAGCAGTGACTACTCCAGCAGTCTGAACAGGGTTGGGTTTTTTCATTACTTAGTAAGATCTAGTTTAAAGATTCTCAATGTAGTGTAATATTATCTTGCTTTTTAAAAATGTAATTCCCTGGAAATTCAGCATTTCCATTTCATTGCACCGTTCCTGTGAAGCCACCCATTACTTCCACTACCAAATCCTGATGCTAGAAAAACCACACATTGCCATTAATCAATCTTTATTACAGAACACGTTAATGCTATAAAAACATTGTAAATGGGTAGAAAGAGGCACATCAGCAGCTTTGGGCATTAATAAGTGAAAGCGGTGGCAGGACTTTCATCCCAATACCACACTTCCCTATAATTTATCACCCAAGTCTTGTTGAGAATTTCATTTATTCAACTGTAAGAAGGCGGGGGAAAAAAAAAATATCAAAAAAGGGTATTACAACCCTTGTAAATTATTCAGTAGCAAAGGACAATTTGTTAGCAATGGCAATATCTGATATATTGGCACACTGCAGCAGCCCTATTTGCTTAGAAAAATTGCAACATGAAACGAAAAAGCAGTATTTTCAAGATAAGGGAGCACAGCTCTTGTGTCTTACCCACAGATTCAATCCTATCATCCTTCATTCCTAATAATCTAGCAGGTGTTCCCTTGAAATTACTTAACAGGACATAAGAAGTTGGAAGTTGTACAGCCCCCATGTTTCCTTTTGGCATTAAACTCTCAGTAACTGCAGCCATTGAGGCCGTGTCCCGCTGGACACGCTCTGCGTGCTCCGGCTGCCGTCACCGTCCCCGTGATGTGACAAAAGCGCACACCGACAATGGCAAAAAGCACTCCTGCCCTCACATCCCAGCCTTGCGCTTTTGTCAGCGCTGGCGTTCAGGCAGCCAAGCATGAGGCCAGCTCCAGGAACTGGAGTTGGTGGGGGAAGTTCAAATAAAAAAAGGACAACTTTAAGCTGAAACAGGAGGAGAAACCCCTCCAGAAATCCCATTGCAAAGTCACACGAGCTCTCGTGCCAGCAGCACAAATGAGAGCAAGGCTGTTCCTTTCACCAGCAGCCCGCAAAGATGTCAACTCAAAGCAACTGCAGAGCTGCAGGCTCAGAGCGCATTGCACAATACGCTGGCTGCAGCAGCAAAGCTGATTTAAGAGTTTCCGGGCCCCGGTCCACCTCCAGCTGCTCATTCGCTTTAGTGATGTGGCTTACCACACAGATCCAAACAGCTGTACCAGTACAAACCATGGAGTTTGTAGCAGCGTTGGGAGCAAAAAACACCCCCCAGGGTGGAAAAGGAACTCTAAGAGTCCTCTCTGCCGGTGCCAATGCATTATGAATTACACTCTTGAGCTTCAAGTTCCACAGAAACCTAAGCTGATGGCCCTGGCAGCTGCCACAGCTCCCCCTCCATCACACTGAGCATCCCTGCCCGCCCGGGCTAGCGCCCAAACGCCTCTGTCAAGCATCCAACAGGCACAAGAGCCAGTGCAAGAGAGGACACAGCAGCGTACAGAAAGCTTGGTGGGGGCAGGACACGACGGCAGCGCAGGCTGGGCAAGCACAACCAGAGTTTGTGGTTTCTTGAACAGTCTGACCAACACCATCGGCTCATGGCCACGTAGTGAGTCCCCAGGGGATGGGGGACACCTAAGAAATAGTGAAGTACAAGTGCTCGACACTGAACAGAGCACAGCTCAGCACAGAAGAGGGCTGTGGATCTGGTACAGAAATTATGGGCTCACTACGCACCAGTGCAGTAAAGGTACAGGGCTAAAAGTGGAGAGGAGCTGCCTCTTTTTAATGCCCAAGCTACACATTTAATCAATCTGAAAACAAACAAACAAAAAAAATCAATCTTTGCAGATTAACCTGAATTAACACTTCCCCAATAAAGTCTTCTACTGGGAATCCTTTGCAAAAAAATCCTTGCTGAAATAAACACATCAGTACTTACTGTCTCAAGGTGCTGCTTAAGTCATAGTATGAGCTGTCCCTAGAAGATTTATTTGAGTAAAATAGGAACTAGGTCAGTAGGAAGCAGTTCAAAACCACAAGTGACATTATCCTGTGAATCCTATTAGAAGACATATGGCTTCTTTATAGCAAATACAAAATACACAAGTGAAAAGCAGCGAGAGTTTGGATTTAAATTGTCTTTCCCCTCCTCCTTTTTTTCGCCTTCTTTTAGAAAACTAATTTTAGAAGACAGCGGATGAGGAATGTTCTTAGTTGTAAAAAAGGGAAAAATATTTAGACAGCTTTTAAAAATAGAAGTACAACAACATAATTTGGTTTATGTTTTACAACACGACTCCTTTAGGTTTAGTGACATGTGGCTGTGTTTTAAGCTTTAGCCAATGGCACATTTCTTACATGCCATGACAGGAACAAGGTTTTTAATGTACATTTTAATACTCTTGTGGCGTTTTGTTTTGTTTTGCTGGTTTTTTGGGTTTGGTTTGGTCTTTTTTTTCCCCCAGAAATAAGACTGAAAATATTTCTTCCTCTTCTGAATTAAGATCACATTCAAAACCATTATCTTATCATAAGCAGGTAGAAAGTGTATCTCTCTCTCTGCTATACTCCAGCTCTATAAATGTCACTGCAAGGAATGAATGAAAGACCATAACCTTCAACTCTGACTTTTAGGTAACTCTGCCTGCAGATAAATCTAAATAGAACTGGGTATCTGAAAGAGCAGGCAAACCAGGTAGCAGTGAGGACTCCTACTGATAGGATTTTCAAAGAAGTGTTTTATTTGAGATACAACCCAGCCCAAGCATTTGCCAGTCTGGTTGTCTGTCTCGTCTGAGGGAATGTTTTTCAACACCATTTTCATGCAGGGATTTAAATGGCACGCTTAAGATTCTGGTAAAGGACAAATCCCTACTCACCTCTGACTTGAAAGAGGTTTCATCCTCTGAATTCGACTCCTCCATTTCCACAGGCTTTTTGATCTCCTTGGCCTCACTTTCTGATTTTACCTTTTCCACTTTGGCATTCATCTTCTCCTTGGTTTGTTTCTTCTCGGGATATGAGGAAGACGAAGTTCTGGGAGACGTCCCCAGGATATTCTTTACCCCTTTGGAGCTACTCTTTTTTTGCTTTTTGGCACTAGGCTTTGGTGACTCCACATTGGAGGGCCTTTTGCTGGAAGACTTTAACTCCGGCTGTGGCCCACCTTTTGGAGAAGTGTTCTCCAGTTTGGTCTCCTTCACGGCCAGTTTTGGTTCCTTGAAAGCAGCTTTTGGAGGTGCCTTCTCCTCCTTCGGCAGTTTGTTCTCAGTTGGTTTTCTGGAGGAGTCCTTCAAAGGCTTGCTCTGTTCTCTTTCAATGTCTTTGGAGGAGTTTTTACTCTCAGAGTCTTTTCTTGGCCTCTCTCTGTGCTCCTTGGTTACTTTGTGTGGCTTAGACGCCTTGCTACTTTCCTTGTTTGCATCCTAAAATTCAGAAACAGAAGCATGTAAGCTAGACAAGAAATTGAAGCTCTGCACAGAATTATAAAACATTCTCATAAATCACACTGAAGCATGTGCTTCATGTGGACATCCACCCACAGGTGCCTGATGTACTTACCTACCTCTGAGGTAGACACCTAAATTTCCCTGAAGCTGATGGACAGACATCAACAGTAGACACTTAAACATCTACATTAGGACAGGATGAAACACTTCACAAATGCCTGCTCCTTTCCACGGTCTATTAAAGGAGGTCTATAAACATCTGTAGAGGTTTAGTTCAGATTTAACCTGCAGGGTTAACATCTGAAGCCAGATAAGAAGAAACTTGCTCTGGTTATACTTCATACCACATTTTAGGGGAAAAAATACAGCAACTAAAGAGATATTTTTTTTTAAGATTAAATCACAACCATGGCAAATGCCAGTTATGTTTGAAGCCTAGCCTCCAACTCACCACATCAACCACACTGCAACTTGACAAAAATACCGAATGGCCCCACAACCATAAGAGCTAAGATCTCCAACACGTGCAGGCTCTTTAGTAAGGGTTTTAAGTCACCCATCATTAGGACCCTGCCCATCCTAAGAGTCACGTATGCAGGAAGGTAAATGCCTACTTTCCTTTGTGAATTATATGTGAACTCAAAACCCTTAGGAAGTGGGTTTTGTGGGGACACACTGGAGCATGAAGTGGACATGTTGAGATGCAAACACACGTGCACCTCTGAGGGCAACCCAGAGGAAGAGCAGCAGGAGACCATGGTCCCTTTTGCTACTGGCAATTTCCCCCAGAGCCTGGGTCAGAGCCCTTTATTTCTCTTGTCTTCTGTTTTCTAATGCTTAATTCCTGATCAAAATGAAAACACAGATAACTCATCTTTGTTTCATAACATCAACATCAGAAAGCACGACTGAAGTGCCAGAAGCATTTAGAGCCCTGAAGAAAACAGCTATCAGAATTTAATTATAAAGTGAACTATAAAATGAACTGCTGTTAATATTTGTGTGTTCAGGCTGATAAAATGCATGTAATTGGCTTCAAAACACATTGCTTGTGGATTTTTTCTCCTGTGGAGAATTATACAGGACTAGCTTCATTGTGTAAGTGAAAAAAGGAAAAGTTAAGGTTCATCTGAAGTCTCCACAACTAGATACTGCTGGATGCAAACATCAAATCTTGAAATCATGAGTTTGACCAAATGCAGCATATTTTATGTTCTTTACACCACTACTGTAAGCACTCAGTAACAGAGGAGGTGCCGACTCTCTACTTGGCCTCGCTGCTAAGAGATGCAAGGACTCAGGAGGACCACTTTACATGAGAGTGAAAGACCCCTGTAATTCATCCTCAGCATCAAGGATATAAGTCAGAAGAGAGAGGGCTTCGTTCAGCTTTATCACTATAGCAGTTCAGGAGGAAGATGTGGTTCACCAAAATCTCCCAGTCTTGGGCATTTAATTTTCTTTCTAAAATTTTCCCTGGAGAGAAGCTTAGCAAATCATAAAGAGCCTCCTCAATTATGATTGGTTCCAGACCATTAGGTAGTGAACTGTAGAGTACAAGGAAGAAGGTTTCCAAATTAGGGGGAGTCAGAAACAGCAGCTAAACAAGCTCTTAGCAAGTCCTGAAAGACTTCGTCACCTCAGGACGACACAAAAACACGCATCACTGACCTTCGATCCATGGGATGGTTTGGTCTTCTTGGGATCAGAGAAGGCAGAGAGCGGTATTGTGGGCAACATTGGATAATCAGGACTTGGCCTTGAAACAGTCTCTGCTCCTTCTGGCATTACCATCACCTAGTAATAAAGAGTAATGAAAAATTATGTACGAGTAAAGTCGCATGGACTATTAACACATGATTATGTTAAGTCACTTGCTCAATTAACACCCTATTCTTCATCTTCTGAATGTTTTTTTCCCCAGCTTAAAGGCCATAAAAAGATATTGTCTAGGTCATGCTCAGTTTCAAGGCAACTCCTCGAATATAGAACATTAAAACAACAACAACAAAAAAAAAAGAAAGGCAACATGCAATATCAAGTATCTTTCCCAAAGGGAACGCCAATATTCTGAGCACAAGCAAGCAATAAAGCTCTGGACAAGAACTGTGTGTTCTGCTGCAAATGCTCTTATCCTGCAAACAGGCAGCAAGGTAAATCTGGAGGGAATGAGCAAGACTTCAGCAATTTAAGAGAAGCTGAATTCACTCGTTCAGGGGGAAAAAAATGAAAGAAAGACAAAAGCAGCCTTTGGGTCTCTCCTTTGAAAAGATTTTATCACCAAGCCCTAAGCTCCATGAAACACCTTCCTCCTTACCTCCCCTGTATTCTGTCACAATAAGCCTGTCGAACATTTCCACTAGAGGAACAGCATCAAAAGTGATTCACAGATGAAACACCTCAATACATGAGGAATACAATAATATACTATGAGATTCCTAGAAAGCAAAGGATGTTCTAGCTATCCCACAGCTGAAAAACACCTTCGTCTTTGTGCTCAGTACAGAAAAAGCACACACCCATTTTCCCTCCCACACTCATTTTCCTTAATTTTTCAATATCTAAGCCACAGGAAGCTGACCTCTCATTTAGAGGACATTTACTGACCAGGAAGCACTAAGTATTAAGCTTTCCTCTGGCAAAAATGAGTAAGGAATAGACTGGAAGCCTCTCCCCTTTTCTGGAGCTTTTCTCTACTGATACAGCTTATGCCACCAGGAAGGTACCAGATAACTGTAACTGCCTGATGGACAGCGTGCAGCATCCACAGAGGATCTCCATTTCCAGAGGGGTTTTAGCGCTTCAATATTAATGGTCCCACTTAAATTGAAAATGAAGCAACATCAATCACACCAGCAATGGTTTAGTTCTGCTTCAAGTGCTGCAGTTGTACAACTGGGAGTGAAAACTGGCTAGGTGAACCTGTAGATGAAGGTAGAAAACTGTATTGCTGGGCTGCAGCTAAAAACAAACCTCAGAGCAAAAGGAGATCACCACACATTTTAGCAGAACCTCTGCACATCTCCAGTCCCTTTGGCACTTACCCCTCCAGCCCTAATGAGTTTGCGTCTGAACTCCTTGGTGGGGTTGTTGAAAGTCAGCTTCTCACAGCGAAGGTGGTTCACGGGTGGATTTCCCTCCAAATTCAAGAACAGGTCGTATGTGAAACAAACCTTTTTTGGCTCCTCCTAAAAACAAGAAAGGCTTTGGGAAAACAGCAGAAATCTGGCAAGCACACCAAGTCAGAGGATTCAAACAGTCTCTCCTGGAAATCCCAAATAAACCGCTGAGTAAGTGTGGCATTTATTGACTTTTTCACCATGAAATCAGAGAGCTAGAAATGAAACTATCGGAGCTTGAATTTAACGTGTCGTTCATCATTTTCACTGCAAAAGCAACGCATGGACAAGGACACGGACTGACAACCGTCTGTTTAAATCCATTCAAGTCTTCCTAGGGAAGCAGATTCACCAGCTTTATCCACTGCTCTGCTGTCTCTGAAATTCAGATCCTATCGCCTTTGGGAAGCGACTGAACTATAAGTATCAATATTAAGAAAAGCATAATCCTTCATTTAGAGAAGGAACAACTTCTGAACTTGTAGGATCTCTGTGGGTACTGAGAAAAGATTAAACACAATGGTAAAAGGACGACTTGTTTTGGAAAATCCTTTTCAAAATGCATATTGCAGGGGTTGAATGGGAAAATATCCCAGGCTTTTGAACTTTCCAAGGGCACTTTCACTTGAGAAATCCGGAGTTTGTATGCATGTTGGGGATCATCTGCGCCTCACTGGTTTTGTTCCACCTGCTCCAGAGGCACAGTGAACACTCTGCATTTGCAGTGCAGAATGGAAGAAAGCTCTTCCTTCTTTTCTCTCAGAATTGCAAACACTGCACACTACTCGTGTATTACACAGATCAATATGACTTTTTGTGGTATTACCTTGCAATCTGCATTTCAAGATGAAAACTCAAAAACATGGCAAAAGAGACTCTCTCGCAAACCACCCAGAGCTTGCAGTACATTCAGAATTTACATGAATGCATCCCACATGCCTCATTCAACGCGCAACATCAAGCAGCTGCACAGCAGTCTTTTCCACAATTCCTACCCAGCAGCTTGATTTCCTGGTGTAGCTGCATTGTTGTATGGGAACAGACGCCGCAGGCCTCCAGCCCAGGCCATTAGACTTGCTGAAAATAGGTTGAAGCGTCGAACGGCTGCAGACCACACTGGTTCCTGCTGTTTGCTTGGTGGATGCTGACGTGGCTGAAGAAGCCATTTCTTGTCCAAACTATACCTCTAATAGTAACAAGTGCGCTAACCACACCTTGTGTACATCAAAATCAGCACTCTAAGCCCACCTGGGAGTCAAGATCTTGGGTCCTAACTCCCCTAAGGGGGAAGGCAGACATCTACGCAGACACATACAAAATAATTGTCTCCCATTAAGCAGCAAGACCACGCTACAATGTGAGGGACTTCAGAACCTCTCTGGGAAAAGTTCTGAAGGATCCATGCACACTCGAAAGGGTTCAATGTCTACTCAAACAGATGAGCAGGAAGAAGAAAAAGACTTAGAAAATACACTACATTGTCATTTTCCTCTTCTGCTACAACCATTCTCATTAACTGAATCATTAGCGAACTCTGCATGCGCGTGCTTACGCTGGAGTTAAAACAGCGGCTGTAAAGGGTCCCTCAAAGTCTAATAAACTTAAATGAAGGATGAACAGAAACCCAAATGTGGCCTAAGAATTCCAAAATGCTTTTCCTAGTTAATAACATAGGATAAATTGATCTTGGATATATTAGCAAAAGCAGGTTTTACTCAGAAGCTGTTATTAAAGCCCTCACATTATCAGAGCTTTGCTTTGTCATTTGCTTGTTTGCTTTCAGAGCAGGAAAGAGACAGAAGATTCATTTCCATTTTATTTTAGCTATCCCATTTTTTATACAGACTCAAAAAAAAGCATCGGAGAATCTTCCAAATATTTACTGTACCTCTGTGGACAAGCTTCCACTTTCTGTAAAATTAAGACAGTTTTTCAATGTGATTTTTCTCCAACTCATATCATGACCACCCTGGGAACCGCGTCCCAGCCAAGTACCATGATCATTAAAATCTCCTTTGTATTGTCTCAGGCCATCAGAAGCCCCCCACCCAAGTGAACTGTTAAGATTACAGCACTCCTAAAAGAATGAGTACAAAAGTCTCAAAGCAAAAAGCTGCAAATAAACATTCCTTCCTTTACTGCCTTCACTGACAGCTAATGATTACAGCTCCAGACACTCCAGAGCTTAACCCATCCGGTCCTCCCTAAAAGATTCTTCCCTCCAAACAACCAAAAAAAAAAAGAAAACCAAGGAAAACCTCTCTCAATTGCTCCTCTAACTTTAAATGGAAAGCCACACTGAATCCGCAGCGCCACACTTCAAACGTCTTCCTAAATAACATCTTGAGATCTACACACCCTGCTGCTCCGAGGTGCAATAAAGGTGCAATAAGTCTGCACCCTATGAACCAGGCAGTCTGTTTTCATCCTGCAACACCACCCCACCTACTCCTGCTTGAGTAGCAGCTATACGTGCAGGACAAACTTTAGTCTTAGATGATTCCACCTTCTGATACTCAACCCTCGATGTCCACAAGTAAAACCAAAAAGAGGAGAGCCTTTCTTTTTGTGGATATTTGTTGCTCTCCAAGATCATAAGCTTTTCTGAAGGGGTTTCCTTCCAAGAAAGGCTTTAGAAAGGATGGATCATATCCATTTCTAACTGGGGGATATTGCAGTTATTCAGATGAAAATTCAGTGGTCAATTTGGACATGAAATGGTTACGCTGGTACAGGATCTCTGAGCAATCCATCTTAGAACCTGGGTTTATATCTGCCCCTTAAATCTCGCCATGCCAGAGAAGTAAACTGGAAGTGCGTACCACAAAGCTGGGACAAGCTTTTATTTGCAGCCGCTGTAAATTTCCCTCCATCCACTGCCTCCGCCTACTCCACCTCCAATCTCCAAAGCCGAGCACATTATGCTTTATTTTTACTGTTTCCAGTTTCCTGTCTGCCACCACACTGTTAACACTGGAGTTGCTTTATTTTCCTTCTGAGCTCTGAAGGAATGGGTTAAAGTTCTCTTGGCACTTTTCAGAAGAGGAGGAATTTTTCAAAGTCTTTTGTTAAAATTTCCTTGTCCTGTTTTTAAGGCAGGGTGTGCCCTTTGCCACTTATACACAAATCAAAAGGATCTCACTGGTAGCGTGCGCATAAAGCTCATAAATCACTTTTAGAAAGCCATAAAACAAAATTATCTACAAAAATCTAGCACACCAAGGAAGCAGGCTCATGGTTATTCAATAACTGTAACACTCAACACTACTTCCCTTTTGCCATAGATCCAGCCTGACAGTCATTTATCCATAACCGGTTCATAAAGCCTGTATAAATGAAACCCCCTTTTCCAGGCTGGTACAACCCGTCTGACAGGTCTTCCACAGGACATTTTAAAGTGAATAGGCCAATACTCAGTTTTTACAACAAGTAGTCTTAGGTTGCACTCTGCTAACAAGTCCATGAAACACCCTTATCTTTTTTGAAACCCTACAGGGTTAAGTAAAATAACAGAGAACTCACCACCAATTAAAGCCTATTATTTGAAAATTAAGAAAATATACTCATTGCTCCAAGAAAAGCATTTAATAATCTATTAGCTCTTACAAATATAGGCTATAACGTTGGCATGGCCAGTAAAGCCATTACATTTGACAAGGCTTCCTTGCCAGGCACTGCAATACTCAGCGTATGCAGAACCCTATCAATGTGCCATGCTGAATGGCTACTGAACCATGCATAGCCCAGGCGTTTTGGCCAGGAAAACAGTTCTGCTCAGGTAGAAGAATGGGTAAACTGATAATATGTATTAGTTTATGACAGAAAAAGGCGAAAAAAGATCCCCCGCTCAGTAGCGGCACAAAAGAAAGCGCTGTGTGTTTGGTAAGGCAATACAGAATAGACCTAAAAATGTGAGCAACAAATGCTTACACTTAAAGGCTAGACAAAACAACAAGTTTTACTCCTCCTTCCCCAACTTTCAGCAACACTGAATAAATACTAACAGGCTAAACCTACTCCTCCTTTCCTGAAACCTGTGCAGACCCTGCCCCAACAACACAGCAATTCGTTAAGTAAAATCCAATGCCTCGAGCACACACAAGCTCTTCAGCAGCCTTCCTTGGGCGTATGCCACAAGGCAACACCTTGCTTACATTTTTTCCCTTCTCTGATATTTTTTATGTATTTTATACACCTGCAAATATTGCAGAAGGAGGAAAACAGGCATGTTTTTATTTTGAACCTAACCGGAAAAAAATCAAACTGATTTCTCTGCTTTCTTTGCTTATCTCCCTTCTACTGATTAAAAAAAGCCTGAGTTCCCTGTATCCATTATGTAAATACTGGAAGCCTTTTATCTCCAGCACTGCAATTGGAAAGTAGCATCTTTAAAGAGACTTTAATACAACATCTTATCCGTGTTGCATTAATATCACCTGCCTCATATCGAAATAACATGAAAGTATCCTAGACCTTTAGCTTTTGTTGGGCGAGGTTGATCTAATTTGATTAGGATGCAAAAAAATGTAACAGGGGATGAATACCAAAGCCGTACCTGTATTACAACCTCCAGATTACAACGTATGCCACTACCAGAGATTTATTTGGAGACAACAATGAGGCCATGAAAAAAGCCTCGAGACTGTTGAAAATGAGTGGGGGAGAGCAGCAGAAAAAACAGCAACGCTTTTACTGTACCCAGTTCGTATTGATTGAAGCACCAGAAGCCACTAACAGCAGCCCTCGTTACAGGAAGGAGCACAAAGGATTTAAAAACAACAATAACACACTAACATTTGTAGTCCAACAATCCCCAATGATACATTATCATCAGTCAACTGTGCTTTCCAAAGCTTTATCACTCACCCTGCCGAGACCCTGCCATTTGCTTTCTGGGTTCAGTTATGGAGCAAAGGCTCCAGCAGGGCACCAATACCAAATGAACCTGTGGGTCCTGTGGCTTTCTAGAAAGCTCAGCTACACAAACTGTCCAGCAACGTTCAAAATAGATATTCTGTAATTCAAATGACATGGCCACGAAAGCACCTACTTAATGAGGAACCGATTTACAGCGCAGGAAGGACGCGCACACGCCAACAAAGCATAGCTGTGTCCATAGAGGATAGGAACACGCTCTTGCACCTTTTAAAATCCTCTGCTGCTTCCCTGTCTCACTGAAAGGCACCGAAAGCTTCAGAGGGGCCGTGAGTGCTGCCTCTCCTGCTCCAAACAGACAACGATAACAAGAAGTACTCCAATATAGAGCTAATGGGCAGTTTTATGCAAAGTCGCCTAAAAAAATAATCCCTGACGAAGTTCATTAAAACCATTCTTAAGCCGTTCTTAGTAAAGTTGCTCCTTAGCAGTGAACAGGCCCACATTTCTTCAGCCACAGCAAAGAGTACCCTGGCTCCAACAACCACTATTTATCATCTCAGTAACAAATTAGAACAGGGAAAGAAAACGGCTAAGAAAGGAGGCTTAAAATGTGGAAAAAAAATAAATTCAGCCAACCATGGCAAAGATCAACTTCCACAGATGAGTTCACTCTCTTTAAATCCTTCTTCTTCTCACCTTTACAAAGCTAAACATGCATCGTTAAACAAATCCCAAAGCCTTTGCAACTCCTGTTTCAACCAAGGGGACACAGATCAACAAAAACGTGCTAGAATGCAGGGAGCATATGGCCAGAAAGTGCCACCCGGCTCCTCCTGCCCACCACCTACAGAACGGCCTTTCCTACCCAATCCCAAAATCAATCCATAACATCCACTTGAAAAGAGTTATTCAAGGATGAGTCCCAAATGCTTTTATCAATTCAGGGAAATTCAGGACAATATACGCTCTGCACACAACAGCTGATCCCCACCAGTGTCAACAGGTTTACAGAGATCAGAGTGAACATATGGTCTCAGAGTAGTAAAGACTTATTTATTTGGTGCTTTAATGTCACATTCTTCAATCAGGAGAAAATAGGCTGTATGCTAAGCCTTTGCCATTCCTCCTCTTTCCCAAGCTTTTTAGTTTCTATTATATCCCAGTCTTTGCTTATCTTTTGTCTCTGCATTTCCTTCAACTCCTCTTCCTGAAAATAATCGTAGCTCTTAATATTTCGAGATGGCATTATCAGCAGGCAATAGCGGTCAGGGGAGCCAAATTCTTCACATCATCAGGCAGCTCCTAAGCTTCCAGCAATCATCAGTACCATGCTTAACTTTCAAATGTGCAGAAAATGTAACATTTGCTGACACAAGGAGAGAAAAACCACTTTGAAGCAATATAAGCAAATTTCAAACAACTTCAGTACAGCTCACATATTTCAATCTCATGGCTGGACCTGGGAACAGGAATGTTCAAATGATGTGCTGGAAGTTACCACATTTTCCCTCAATCACAGCTTGCTCCAATTTAATAATGGGAGGTGCCATCTCAAACTGCTTAATTAGTCAATTCATCAATCAGCTTAAAAGCAGAAGAGAAACTCTCCATGATGCAGGCATCTAAAAAACAGCGCAAAGGTGAGTATTTTGAAGATGTGTAGTTTTGAAAACAAGTCTGCAAATAAACCTGTTCTCCTGTTTATATTTCATGCTTCTCAGGACCCAAATGCCCAAACCAGACCACCTTCTCCTAAATTAATGGCTCCTTCCATTGTTTCTACCAAGAACAGAGACCACCTATTTCCCTTATTTATAAAAGCCATCCTAGCCCGAATGCTACAAAGAACAACTACGCAGTCACGTGTTTATAAAACAATGCAAAGTGATGACCCTGGTGGGTGTGACACCAAGTTACAGTCAGAGAAGCTGCCGGTTCCATATTCTGTGAGGAGCATACAAATACAGGGGGTGGAAAGGAAAAAAAGCCCGTGAATGCAGACGACAGTCACTGCAAACAAGTGCACCTACAAAATAATACAGGGAAAGTGGAAATAAGAAAGAAGGATCCGAGTTGTGAAAGACAAAACCATCAGAGACCTTCAGGGAAAAGGGAAGTGTGAGAAAAGACCTGGTAAAGAAAGGAGGGAAAAAATAAAAGGTAAGAGTCAAAACAAAACAGAAACATCAGACAAACAAAACAAACCCATCACAGTCATTGAGATTCCCCTTACAAGAAATCAGTGTGAAGTTGACATTTTTGGTCAAGAATGTAAAGGTCGATTCTGAATTAAGCCAACGTACAGTGCAGATGAAGAGTTTCCCGATTTCCATCCAAAACCTCAGAAAAGCCACCCGAAGTCAAACTACTTTTAAGCTTTTGAGGTTTTTTTCTGCATTCAAGTGGTAGTTACTAGCGTTTGCCAAAAAAGCTGCTTCCATCCACAACTTTCAGCCCCTACCCTCCAACGGGCATTTCTTTTCACATCCTTTCGGCTTACCCCACCCACCCAAAAGAAAGTTGTGGGCAAAACGGGCCCAGGTTTAGAAGAAAACTCTTATGGTGGTTCAGTTTCATTATTTCCCTCATTACTTCGGCTCATAAAGTGAAGAGCAATGCAGTGGGCCAAAAAACCAAACTAAAATGTTATTTGCAAATGACATTGCCAGGAGATTATACTGGCCTAATAACTTAATTGTCAAAATTTTAATTTATCTAGGTTCCCTCTTAGAGATAATGAGCAGAACAGTACTTTTTTAAAGTAGTAATCAAACCCAGAAAGATTCAGCATTCACCTTAACAAAGCAATTTAACAGAAACTGACTTAATGTGAATGCAAGTGCCCAAATCTCTATTTTCACAACCTCCTTCAAGTCATGCAGCATGTGACCTCTGTGGCAAGACTTAAAGCAAACGATAAATCCCACATTTTAACTTTCATATACTTGTTGGCAATGCATCTTAAGACTTAAAATATTTCGTGTTTTCTTTTTGGAAGAGTACTGAATCAGAGTGACAACATTTTTAACACAGCTGTCAATACCTCTCCAATATATGCAAATGTTTGTGTTGGCCGATACAATTTTTATACCTGTACATTTCATAAGACTGCAAATTAAAAAAATTATTTTTAATATATTGCCCGTGAACATAGTATTTACAAATGTCTATAAAAATCTGTGGTTTATGTTTATTCTCTTCCCTATTTGCATAAAATAGTTTAAACTGCTTTAATATTACGAAGGTTGTTACAAGTGGTACAACCTCTGCTCAGAACCTCTAGGACCACCACACTGTCCTGATGTTACCTTTCTATAGAACTCCGTTTCTGCCAAAGGCTTTCCTTTGAAGTCTGGCAGGAGCTTCCAACTCCCAGTTAAATTCTATTTATTAGACTAATAAAAAACACACACATAAAACAGTCACATAATTTAGAGTCTTTCTGTCAGGCAGTTTCAGCCTCTGGCACAGCTCAAAACAATTAGAAGACCAGAAATCAGATTCTACCTTATTTTTGAAGTGCACTTCAATGGGCATAATGAAGCCTGCATAGCCAGACTCCTCCACTTTGTAAGGGGGCTCCTTGCACACTGTAAAGAGAACAGATAAATGTTAACTTGAATATAACACAACTTTATCTGAGGCAAATAGGAGCTGCAAGATGAGAAATGGGCCTCCGATAATTCAGGTCATATTTAAAACACTGACCTTTATGGAAAAAAAAAACAAACAACCAAAAACACAAATTAAGATGGTGGTCATAGGCTTAGTTAAGAACATGAAAAATCTGTTCTTAGCTCCTCCCAAGGAAAGGAAACATAAAACACTCACACCAGACTTTTGAGAGATTCTTCCCCCCCTTTTGCAGTGAGATACAATTATATTTCTGTGCTGTTCCACAACAGTGCAAACTGCCAGTTAAAGCTCTCTTCCAAAAAACGGCAAAGACCCAAAAGGTGGGAATTTGAACAGTATGGAGAGCTAAAATTTACCGTGATATGTGCCCATATTTATCAACCAACACCACCACACGAGCAGATTTTTTTCTCCTTGAAATGCTCTCCTGCAATGCTCAACCTCCATCATTACGTAACAGCCGTACTCCAAACTGCTTCACCCAAACCTCGTACAAACCTGACGGGCAGGTAAGCTCTGCTCTTTATTTCACATACAAGGAAACGGAGGAAGGTTGAACAGTTTGCTGCTAAGGTCACAGCGCTGCTCACTGCGGAAACGTCGATTACAAAAGTTAAGCGCTTCTAAGAAATTAATTTACATGCTACCTGCCTTAGTTTCCCCTGTCCCGCTACCTGTTGTATCTTCATGCTGCTGAATCCTTCCTGTCATCTACCACTGCATTTCAGTCCAGCGACAGCCCACTTTAAGGACTCCAGGATCATTTATTTGGCCATGACATTGCTAAACATTACAGCTGCCAGAAGAAACATGAAACCAGCACAGACATTCTCCTGCTCAGAAACCGGATGCACTTGCATATAATTTATGCACCACAATAGATGTAAGTAAAGTCAATTAAGTAATTAGAATAATTCAATGCAAGTCTTTTACTTTCTCTAAAGAATCCCAAGTAATTAATATGATTAGGAAACTGTATCTCAAAGCTAAAAAGCACACAAATTCTTTTCCTTTAACATAGACATATTATCCCCAGCTCTAAACATTTCTACCATCGTTAAGGTGCTAGAAAGCAGTACTGAAAACTCAGCAATGAAAAAACACCATGTCTAAAAATAAACAAAATCTCTAGACTTGCTTTAACTAGAATTTCATATAAAAGCTCAATAATGTAGGGCAAAAAAACTAAGACCAAAGAGCAGCCCCAATACGGCCGCAGGAATCTTAACACCATCGGCCAAGCAGCCTTTGTTCCTTTGCTGCTCTATTCTAACAGATTAAAATTACTACACAAGCAACCTGCTAGCAGCACAAGCCGACCTTCACCAGTAAATTTTGCTCCAAGTAAGAGCAAACCATCTGAAGAAACCCTTCAAACAAACCTAGAAATAGCATGCATGTGCCACACCATTTACACACAACCCAGACACACTTTGGTCAACAGCTGGCATTATGATCAAGCTTCAGAAAGTGTGCAAAAACCATACAGATCGGGGATAAAATCTGTCTCTTTAAAGGTAGATGATACAACTGACTGAGCAAAGACCAAGTACTATCCCTACACAGTTGTTTGTAATAAAGTAATTACACCAGGTGACAAGAATTGTAGCACAGCAGATTGTAACTTTTATTCTATAAATTAGCTTTCAGATCAGTATTGCACTTGCTTATAATACATCAGTTTTACTACATCAATTTGAAAGAGATATTAATATACAGCCTAGATTCACATCCTTCTGATTCAAACACCTTTGAGTTACTTTCCACTGTGAACTCTCACAAATAACCAGTGTAGGAGGTAGACCCAAGACATCCTGTATGACCTGCCATCTTCCAAAGAAACATTTCAAAGAATGCACATTATCAAGTAATTTACAGCAATACTGAGGCAGCCAGCATTCCCTGTAACACTACATAACAGTAACACTGCAGATGCAGTTACACAATCTTAAGCAGATTTAAGTCTGCGCTGCTGCCGGAAAGGGCAAATAATCCTGCTCCTCCACCTCAACCATGCGTTCCTGCCACCACACACCAAGAATAAGGTTCACGTTGCTGCACAGTCAGAAAGAACAAAGAACAGATCCAGCAGAAAATAACACCACAATCTGTGTACTCTCCCCAACCTTGCTGACTGCACAGCGCTTGCACGCGTACGTGCAGGTGGAAGGTACAGCCAGGAGCGGACACCACCACCCCTTTGGCATCACTGATTTCTGCTGTGTTTAATGCTGCCCGAATTGGCATCTGAGACTAGAAACTGCAAGAATTCTCATGGCTACTTAATGACCAACACAGAATTCTACATCAGTACATATACAAGCCAAGTGTTTAAGCATCTCTCACCAATCACAGCTTGCGTTGGTGAATATTAACAAATCAAACTCATCTTTCCCATTTTGTAACATGAATTATCTTCTGCTGTCACTAAGTGTCTTGAGAACTTGCAATGTCCTAATGCTTAAATAAGAGGAGAAAGCATCTCACCCCCAGCCCTTTCATCAGAAGAAAGGTCCCATTCTCCCTGACCTTCCTCAAACAAAGACGGTAAAGGTTAAAGCTGAAGCGCACGCAATGTACATTTTGCTTCTCTTTAAGGAGATATTTCACAGAAAAGTGACAGTCCAAGACAACCTTGACCTGCACAATGCTCTTTCATACAGAGAAGATCTAATAACGTATCTGCAAAAATCCACTCACCTCGCTTGGGTTTTGGGAAGCTCTCATGTAGCCGAAAGACCACCCTTTCCACGAAGTGCTGGATGTCACACTGCTCCGGGCCACGGACAAACACCATCCAGTCATGGGTGAACCCTTCGGTGGTGGGCTTCTTCCGCAGTTGGGCTCGGTGCCCCAGCTCCAATTTGACTTGAACCGTGCACTGTTTTAGGACAGAGGTGAGACCATAAGCAAATTGAAACAGCTTACATGTTCTGCATAATGCTGACCCCCATAGACAGAAGACACTAAATCACCGCAGGGGAGGAGTACAACAGCCTCCACAGAGAGATTACTCTCGTTCTGAAAACTACAGTGTTGTCTACAGAAAAGGTATGATAAAAATAGCACCATTTCCCACCTATTTTCTTCCTAATATTAGCAGTGCAGAGAAAGCAGCTTTAGAAGAGGGATACGTTTATCTGCCTCACTTATCAACTAAATTGTCAGCAAAGTCCTAATTGCAGAGTTTTTATTTCTAGAAAGTGTCGAAGACAGAACTTGATGTTCACAGCTGACAGAATTCACAGCACTGACAGAAAACTCATCTTAAAACAGGAAAAACTGGATCATGAATTGGTGGTTTATTATATTCTCTGGAATATGTAATCCGTTAGAATACAGCTATGATGCTCCTTGCATTCTTTTAAATGCATTTTATGAACACACTTTCAAAGACTCAGTCAAACATACAGCGTGCCTGCACCAATATCCAGTACTAAAATGACCTAATTCTGATTTGCACTCCCAGATCTGACTCTAATCGCAGTATAACAGAGAAGGTGTATTCAATGGCTTGCTCAAAGCACAAAAATCCCATTAAACGCCTTAAAAACAGATTAAATTAATTGTGAAGATCCACTTATTATTGCAGACTTCACAGTCAGAAGAAAGCAAATAATTAAAACGGATGTAACAGAGGAAAGGCAAACATGATTCGGACATGAGTTAAAGCAAGCAAATCTTAGGGCAAGATTCGTAGAGATGGGGAATAACATCCAAGATATCCGACTGCTTACGAGTTTTGCACATACACGTCAGATAAACTAGACCAGTAGTGATCTCAAACTAAACAAAATTCAATTTCAGCAACTAGAAGCTTGTAAAAATGGAGCAGTTTTTAGTCCTTTCCTCACCAAAGATGTGAAAATCAGCATCTTGTTCTTTCTGGCATTTCTCAGTTACCACTGAGAGAGACAAAATTCTCTGTCAATACTTATCACAGACGGACACAGACTTAAACTGTGTGTTGTGAGACAATGAACATGAGTGGGCTTCCCGAGATCCAGACAAATATTTAGGAAAAGTATTATCTTCATTTTCCCACTGAGGAACTGCAAAAAGGAGTGCAACCACAATTAATGCCCAAAAATATTTTGCATATCCACCTGACATTTTATCAGGATGCTATTTTCAGAGCACAGTTAATACTTTCTGGGAAAGCGTTAAGTCACTCAATCTCAGTATTCTTTTCTTTGTAAAAAGATCACACAGGAGGTCTACAGACTACCAGGCATCAAAGCTCGACCTCCCAAATTGCAATCCAGTTCTAATTTCCACTATAAGCTGTAACACACT